GCAGTCACATGAACGGGCCCCCATAGCAATGTATGGGATCGTTCATATCAGCGGTTCAGCGAGGTCGAACCGCCCCACGGTGTGAACTGGGCCTTCAGGTGCCAGATGATGCCGAGTATTGTTTTCTTGCTCAGTTTTCAGAACCTGGAAGGAAGGAACACTATAAAAAGAACTGTCCACAGGACCCCCAACACAAAGATTCACTTCCTGCCTACATCAATGTCTGCACAAAACAAATAACCAAAAAAAACTTTTTTTTTATGAATAACTTTATTTAAATAAAGACACGAGAATCTCTATACTGAAAAAATACAAAACAAAAAGCCACACATCTTTTTTGTGTGTTTTTTTTTTCTCTCCAAAAGCAATATTGTGTGGTAACTGGAATACTGTAAAGCACGTCGGCTAAAAATAAAACAGGACGACTATGTACAAATCTTTCAAATCGATATTTCAACGAAAAAGGTCTACGGCTTCTGAGGATACGAGAAAATTGCTAGGACATGTACAGGGAACTGGAATAGACTTCTCTATAGCAGACGAGACCGAGCGCACCGTCATCCTTCAGCGACGGGGGGGGGGAAACGGCAAGTCCCAGCGCGCCCTTTCCGGTAATCCTGGGATTTGTAGTACCTCCGTCGCAGGAAGATGAAAGGATTTCTCAACCTTCGGCTCCACAATCTTCATTCAACAACTGGAATAGGTCAGGAAGAGTAAAGAAAAAAAAAGGCATGTGGCGGGGGGGGGGGAAATGATTTAACATTCCGAAAGGTGCACAGAAGACAACTGGTCAACGTGACTGCAAATGAGCGACAACAACATTCGAATGTTCCGATTTCACATGAACATCGGAAATACTGTAATGAACGTTAACAGGGAGGGAAAAAAAATAATCAAGAGTTGTACATCGATCTACAAATTCATCTATCCTCGCTCGGGTTCAGTTTTTTTTCATTTTCCTCTCATTCGAGACCTGAGATTTGTTACAATAAGTGCCATTTTTTTCTGCGGTGTACTATATGTACTGGAGGAACTGGCTTCAGTAAAGAAAAAAACAAAAAAACAAAAAAAAAATGCTACTTAGGCTTAAACAAGTACAAAAATATAAATAGAAAAAAAAAAAACAAAATTAAATATCTTTATGCTCCATCTAAGGTCATATACTGAATTTAGTTTTTACAATCATTCAAAACAACGGCAAGAGGAGAATGACAAAGAAAGGAAGAAAAAAAGAAAAGATTAAGACAAGGCAACTTTTTTTTTTTTTACAACAAGAATTTGGGAGAATGCCGGAGGTGTATGAAAGGAAAAAAAAATGGTGTACATTGAATTGTGCAAAAAAATTATCCAAAAAAGGAGGAATTTGGTATGGGCCGAGGCTCTGAGCCACGTGTTGGCAATGTACAGGATGGGGGAAGGTAGAGACGTTTTATATCCAATGGTAGGAAAGTTAACAAGCGAGTGCTCCAACTAGAAAAATAGACCCCACCTCCCTCGGTGGGCTTTTGATAAACAAGAGTTCAAAGTATTGCTTGTGCTACCCTTTAAAAAGCCTACATTTTTTTTTGGCTTTTTTTTTTTCAAAAAGAAAAAAAAAAAAAACAGCAAACTAAACTTTATATTTCCTCAACAAAAAATGGCTTTCAAGGCTTCAAAAAACAAAACAAAAAAGGGAGTTATTGGTTGAAATAAAGCAGACCCCAGCGCCCCCCTTTCCCGCGGGGTGGCAGCCATTTTGCTGGACTGTGCCTCTGTTAAATTGCTAGTTCCTAGCGAGTAATAATTCGGCCCGCAGAAACGGCTACTTCTCTTTTGAGGCAAGCCCGGTTGTTTTTTTTTTCAGAAGGGCGATAGTATTTGTTAAACATGGACCAGCAAAATCATTTTGAGTGACCAACCTTTTGACGGGACTGGTGAACACTAGAACAGTGCTGGTTGGGGGAACTTTGAACAGTCCATCAACGGTCACCTAGGAGTCAGCCAGCCACTTTGAGGGTCAGACCCGCATCTCACAAAGACCAATCAGTTCAGAAGGAACTCCATGTGGAACCCGACGGGCTGAGAATAGTTCCAGCCGGCAAAATGGCTACTGACGGGTCAAGTTTTACAGAGACTCGGAGAAGGGGAGGAATGATTAGACCGTCTACACGGATACGTCAAGGTTTGCTGGTTCTGAATAGTGATCCGTGTCCAGGACATTCCACCTGGTTTGGTTCCCAAAAAAGTGGAATGTTGCAAGAGAAGGAACAAAAAAAAAAATGATAATAGAAAAATAAAAACTTGTGCCCACTTTTTTTTGAGCTGCTTCTTTTTAAGTTGCTAGATTCGGAATTTCCAATGTAGTTTACATTCCAAGTTACCTGAGATTTAGACTTCGGCTGAAGTACCTGAAAGTTAGGCCGTGGGAGGGCACTGTGCAATGAGCCGTGGCCCACGCATTCACTGAACTGCGTCTGTGGCCGTCTGAACTGCGGCCACAGAGTTGTGTCGCACAATGACTCCCACACACTCTCTCCTCATCAACATGCCGATCTGCCCAACACCTGGATTTATCTTAAGCAAAAATCCAATCCTGTAGCACAGTAGTCCTCATGGGACAACATGGCAAGACAACAAGGGCCAAAAGCTTGTGTTCCTCATGGCAGCCAATCAGATTCTTCCTTTCTTATTTCCGGCAGGAGTTAGAAAATGGAGAATGTCTGTTGACCATGGGTACAATTGTCTTTCATACAGAGGGGTCCCTTCTTTAGGCTAGTGTCACACAGACCGCTTGCTTGGCCTAATCCCCTGTGTATTCCTGTATGTAGCAGACAAAAAAGGACTTTTACACCCCAAGGTCTTTAAAATCAAAAATTATTTTTGGTGGTCACTTTGGAACAAACCTGGCATCTTGGCCAGATGCTGCAGTCCCTGTTCTTTTTAAGACACGGTGAATAGGAAACGTCACGCTTTGCCCACATACATGTTTGGCAAGTTTAGTGGAAATGGATAAATACTTCCATGTGCAAAGGAGAGGAGAAAAGAGAGCCACAGCCTAGCGCAAATAACTTGGGTATGTTTGAACACGGAGTATGAATGGTATTATAATGACATGTTGTTGCCTGAGGAAGGGGATCCTGTGCAACCCCGAAACGTTTGTTGCAATACCTGTTATGCTGCACGTCAATAAATATACGCTTTGCTTTTCACTCTGGAGTGCCGGTGTCTCTGCCTTTACTTACAGCTATGACGGTTGCCACCCGCCGACTACCGTAGCACCCACTTCTTCAAAGGGATTTTGCGGTCAGGAGTGCAATGGGACCACGGACTTTCTTAAAAAGAACAGGGACTGCAGCATCTAGCCCCGTTCTTTTTGTTTCCTTAGCGCACACGTCGGACACCCTGGTCCGCACACACCAGCGAACGACAACCAGCGTAAAACATTGGACTTTTCTTTGACTTTATTCCCAGGCGAACCCTGCATGCTGGTCGCCATTGTTTTTGTCATGTCTGGAGAAGGCGTTCTACTTGTGACCATTAACTGACACTCCCGGCATCTACATCTAATAACCCAATAACACTTTCCAAATCAGATATCTAGAAGTGAACTAATCCACGGTTCACCGCAAGCTGAGGAGGTTCCAAATTTCACCGTTTAACCAAAACTTGCACAATTCCTGAGTACCGTGATTCACAAAAACCTGTGCAAATCACATTCCTTCCTTTCCAAGGTCATATTCACAATTTACCTCAACCCAGTTCATTTAATTGGAGGGAAACTGCATATCAATTAAGCCAATTCTGTGTATAACTACACATCACTAAAAAGTAAAAGGAACGATAATCCTCCTACCTTCATCTAAATCAGAAATGTCAATAGCATCAAATATATATTTATTTTTTTTGGGGCGTGGGGGGCAACTTTCTCAGCTGAACATCATTTTCCAGATTGCTAGAACACTTTGTCATGCGGATATAGATCCATGGTGCGAGAGCATCATCCCTTATCCATACAGTCTATGACTGGTGTAGGGTGTGCTCTCCTTCTGCGCCTAGGACTAGAAAATAGCTCAGAGGGTTCCAAGCACAGTAGAAACTACCAAAGTGACCTTAAACTCTTTGCACTTTCTGATGAAAGGTGGTTTTAGGCGATTTGCAACCCTCAACTCTTATAGGAAAGTTTAGAGAACTAGTTAGGAGAAACACTGCCACAGACATCTTGTGGAACAGCCTTCCTTTGACAAAGGCTTTGAGTCATCAGCTCTACTACAAAAGCCAAAAGAGAACTAAAGCCCATAAAATCGATGACCTAGGTGAAAGTGGGTTCACTCTGGCTCATAAAAGTTCTTAGTCACAGAACTCTCAGCTCAAACTTTGCCAGAGAGCCAAGGGCTGCATAAAACCCAAGCCCTTAAAGGAGAACTATGGGGTCAGGGCTTTTCCCCATAGTTCTACTTAGGGTAACGGGAGGACACAAACTAGCGTCCTCCCGTTAGCCTAAGCTCAGTATACCGCGAGCTACAGCTCACGGTATACTGAGACGCTGCAGCCGGAGCGGATAACGACATCGATGTCGAGATCTGCCCAGCTGCGTGAGTGACAGCTGGCTCTGCCTATCTAGAGGCAGAGCCAGCTGTACCCGCCCCCTCCCCCGCCCGGTCCCCCAGCCAGCGCGTGCGGATCGGAGGGAATCCAGCCCCTCCCTTGCCACGGCAGAGAGCCGTGACAGGATCGAGAGGTGAGCGAGCGCCGGTATGTGTTCGCTCACCTCCCGATCTACTGAGCCGACCTGTGACAGTCTCATTGTCACAGGTCGGCTAGAACTATGAGGTGAGTGGAAATTGCTCATCTCAGAGTTCTCCTTTAATGAAAGCAGATGCACAGAAGACAGACGGGCCTGTTAAGGGACATGCTGCCATCAAAACCTAAACAGAACCTCTCCAGTCCGTCTCCGCAAGGCTAATTCCATATAAAGGTCCAGGCTCCATCAAGATCAAAGATCTCCAAATAAAGCTAATGAGCTGAGGGATGCAAGTCTACAACAAGGTGCCTTTGGGAATAAGTGGAAAGAACTGATCTTTTCTTCCGCCCAAGAGATTTGCAAGAACTATCTGCAGGTTATCAGTAGAGCGTACCACCGGACATAGTCCCCTCTGCCACATGCAAAGCACCTGTGTGACACTAGCTTTCAAAGTTTTTGGATTGTGGTTATAAAGAGGAAGAGGTTATTTTATACTTTGAAAAACAGAATGCAAATGTGTACCTGTTCAGACAAACTGCAAAATGCATAGTCCACACTGAAGTCATTCAGAGATACTGGTGAAAGTTTCCGCACAAATTTACCTTTTTTTTTTCCCCTAGAAAGAGAAAGCAGAATTTGATTTGATTTGG